TGCAGGGCGACGCGACTTCAACGACAACACTGCTCCTCTACGAACTCGTGAGATGACGCCTTGACGACGCCGACTGCCGTGGACTCGGTGTCTGGCCGGGACGAGGTGTCGACCACTCAGGCCATGCTGGCGCGAGCAACGCGACGGTCATACACCGAAGCCGGTCTCCATCGACAATTACTCCCGCAAGGCGTTGACCCTTGTACACCCCGAGAAGCTACTGGTCGTCGAGAAGTCCGAGCCGAGCGTGATCCATGCTACCCCAACAACAACTCTTCCAACGCCGCCAAGACCGACGAGGCACGACGGCGAGGGCGAGCGCGGCCACCGCAATGGCTACGCTACTCACGGCGTGTGTACCAACGGGGACACGGGCTCTGTCGCCGCTCACACACACATCACCATCATCATGCATGAAGAAAGCGAAGCAAAGACGATGAAGACGACCACACAGCTCAATCGGAGGTATCCCGCGGAGCAACCCGCGGGAGTAATTAACCGGGAGCCTTCTGAGGCCCCTGGAACCAGGAGATCATACAATCGCCACAGCCAGCTTGGCCATGCTAGTAGGCCACGGAGCGCACCTTTTTTCTATGGGATATTGTAATTTTATTTCTCCAATGAGATTAATGAAATAGCCGTTCCCGTATCTTTTTCTTTCTTTTTGTAGTACGGTACACTGGCACGCCCGCATACTCATTTCTCTATTCCCGACGTTTGAGAGAAACACACTCCCTTCTTCCCTTCTCCTCAGAGTTTTAGATGTTTTTCTCGTGTCAAACAGTCCTCGTAAAGCTGTTTTGACGATCTCGAAACCTTTTTTTTTTGGAAAAGAAGGTTAAAACCCCCGGCCTTTGCATCAATCGATGCATACGGCCATCTTTATTTATTATTCCTCAAGGGTCTAACAAGAACATACATCAAGCCACCCAAAATCACGCACACCTACAAAACTCGATAATGTGGAGTGCTCACACTCCCCATATCTAACACCGATGTCGTCGCCGATCCATTCACCTAACGTCTCGGGACCAACAACCGGTGCAACAGACCTAAAGAGTGCACCACATGCACACGTTTTAGACACCACCATCATCATCGGACCGCTGACCCATCTTCAGGAGAGAGACCCGCATTATCTTTGCCAGTCCGTCCATCCGTTGACACCACCACGGCGCCAAACGATGCCACCGCCCCGCGATTGTCCATCCAGACGCGAAGATTATGGAAGATCGATCGTGCGTAGCACCTGCCGAGCAGGCATGACACAACATAGCACCTTTCGGTCAGGCATGACTTGACATCTCCACCAACGATGCTTCCAAGAGATAAACGACACCGTAATATCACCATCATCCGATCAGGAAGACCAGATCCTAGGGTTTCCTCCGGAGCAGCATGAGTGAGTCGACAGTCGTTACTCGACAATGCCTTCATCAAGGTAACGGCGCAGAACGCCGCCATTGCCTGCCATCGGCTCGATTTTCACCGGCAACTATGTCTTCCCGAATCACAGCCGGAGCTAGATGACGGATCATGAGATCTGATCATCCAGCCTCAGGCCGACCACCTCCAACGGAGGAGATGGCCACCACCGCCGACTGCACCGGCCAGATCAGATCGGACTGGAGGTGCCGCCGATAAGACCACCAGGCCCTCCACGCCGTCACCGCCAATCCCAAGGCAGATGGCGCGCCACCGCATTATAGCCGGCCGCTGCCGCCCAAACTGGGCCAGCCGCTGCGCCCGTAGCCCACGCCGGCGTCCATGACCGGGCCGCCCGCCCCGCACCGCCCCTAAGACGTGGGAGAGAGGGACTCCTTCGCCACCGCCGTCGGCCCCGGGCTTAGCCCGGCGGCATCCCTCGGCGGCGGCGGTGGGACGAGAGGAGGTAGTGCACGCCCCCGGCGGCTAGGTCTTGGGCGCCGCCCAAGTCATCCTAGTGGGGGACGACGCGGGGGTTGGGCAGGTGCTTTGTCTAATAAACAATAATTAGCTCAAAGGAAAGAATCATCTGAATACAATCACAGATTAGGACAACTTGAAGTACCAGAAAATCAAGCTCCTCATAATATCATCCAAGTAAAAGAGTTGCAAGTCAAATGTATTTGGAATTTGAAAGATTTCTCTGATGGCGAGTTCTTATGATAGCATTAACACCAATAATGGTGAACCAAATAAACACACTTGGTTTTAATTAAACGGGCACAAATAGAATAGACAATTGCTGAAATGAAGCACAGCATGAAAATAGTTCAAACAATGGTTTATCACAGATATTATCACTATTAAAATGCTTCTGAACTTACCACAAACGTAATCAAGTGAGTCATAGCTTCATAACCAGTCTTTTTGGGAATACTTTGGCACAATAAAAAGGACTGTCACTAGATGTTCCGAAGTGACCTTATCCTGTGGTTTCATGAGGCTGGAAAGGTCACGCTGCTAAAATGCAATACAAGAAGAACAAATCAATCAGAGTAGGACTCAAGGCAATCAACAAACGTAGCATAATACTATTTCCCTTTGTCCCATAATATAAGAACGCTCTCTTATATTATGGGACGGAGGGAGTATTACCAAGCATGTCCCTCTAGAGGTAGTCACAAAGTATGGCGAGACAATTTACCTTCCAATTTTCTTCCTGTTGATTGCGCCAAGCTGGCTCTTAACATTACCACATTCAGCAACTCTAACCTGGAAAAGGCCATATTCAGTATTTTTGTAAATCCAACATCCACCAAAACACTTATTTTCATCTGTAATCTATTACAAAGTAAAATGAAGGTCTATATAAAACCAAGAACTGCACTTGTGATGAGGGGTGGAGACAAAGGACTGGCAAAATCGACGCGGTATTTTAGTTATAACTACTTCAAGATATCCCTTTTCCTGACAAAATCTGGTACCAACCCCTTGCTGTTTGCATCATGAACATTATCTGGCAATTCAATACCAGAAAATGGTTTAAATAATCATGAAACTAGCTGCGCAAACAGGTAGCAAGAGGGAACCAAACAGACAAGACAAAACAGAAAGCTACATCCAAAATATATAGAGATACTAAGCTCCCATGATTTGAAGCGTGCTGGTGCTTCGTGGGTTGTAGGGTCGCTGGGACCCACATGTAAGAGGTTGTTTGTTGCTTAGTTCTATTTCTCTTTCTCTCTTTAATCTTTTACATATTTTAATTCATGAGAACTTATTAAGATTTGTGAATATTAAAAACCAATATTTTTATATTTTTAGCTTCATTAATATTTATTACATTCACGGATATTTTTAAAGTTCACGATCATTTTTGAAGTTTGTGATTTTTCTTCTAAAATTGAGAAATTATTTAATTTGTAAACATTTTCTGAAATCCATGAATAAATATTTCAAAATCGTGAACATTTTATGTAATTCATGGTTTTTAAAATTCAAAATATATTTTAAAATACTGGAAATATTTTAATTAAATTAAAAAAAGGATAGTCTATTTTTCTAAGCTAGGAGTGGAGCGAGCTGAAAAACGCTAACCGAGTGAGAGGAGTAGGGACTCAAGCTGAGCAAGCGAGAGCTCGTGGGCCGACCCATGTGAGTGTTATACCAGCAATTCCATGATTTTAGCGTGGAGTATGAGCTCTCAAGAAACTCACACGACCACCAACGGCTGGCACCGAGACTGAAACATGTAAAGACACCACAATCACGCACCAAACAGCTTTATTCTCATGTAGGAACAAATACTATCTCCAACAAGAACCCGACATTGATATACAAATGAAAAAACGCCTTTAGAAAATAATTCAAACACAAGTCAACATAAAAAAATCCAAACAAAACAACTGACCACAACAATCTACTAAATATAAATCAATTAATCCCATATGTGAAGAACAGTGTGGCAAAGCGCGTGTTAGCCTCTAGTCTACCAATTAAGTGTGGCAGAGTTCTATTTAAAACATTGTTCCTGACATTTTTTTAAAAAAGTTCATAAATTATAAAATATGTTCCACGGTATTTTATAGAAATTTAAATGAAAATTATATTAAAAATAAACAATATTCTAAAAAAATCTTCGCATAAAAAAAGTTGTGCCACTTGAAAAAATGCTTGTGAACACTTAAGAAATGTTTGCATGTTATAAAAAATGTTCATCATGACTTTTCTGAAAATATTAAACTTGTGTTTAAAAATGTTCACTATATATTTTTAAAAATTTCTGTTTGCAAAAATGTAACTTATACTCCTGGATGAAGATCTAACGCCCCTAGATGAAAGTGACTGATGCAATTATATTTTCAGGCACCTGAGGTATAGTCAGTCCCTTTTTTGAGTTGGCGTCGTACTATGTTTCCGTGTTGAATGAACGTGTGGTACTCTTTGAAAAATGAAATAAGGAAATAAATAAAGTACTTAGTACAGGGCAATCAAGAAAAAAGATTCCAATACTAGTGCCGGCCTCACTCACGAGTGAACCTCTTTTCTTTCCCATGCTCAGACTGGAAAAGGAACTCGTAATGTGAATCTGATTCGCTTCGTGTGGACGTGTCCGCGGGATCCAAACACTGCTGCTACAGGAATGCTATATCATAACACGGAGAGACGGAGGAATACAGCAAACGCTTTCAAAGGGGGCTCTATTCGGAGGAGGGGAAGAGGTACTCTTTCGAAAATAGAAAATAAAATATAATAAAATAGTACTATTAGTGCACGGCAATCAGTAAAATATACTTTAATTTGAGAACCATCTGAGATTGGATGGTTAGGAGGATACTGGTGCCCCAGCCCATCAGGATTCAAATTCTAAACTTGGCACTGCTGCTAGCATTTCTTTTGAATTTATTTCAGGCTCTTCGGCGATGTTAATTCACTGTGAGGAGACATTCTGCCGACACACACTAGTGCTGCAACTTTGTGGACGTACGGTCAGCACCTTAACTAGCCAAGGACAACGCCATGGCTGCTGTCTAAGGAAGTATCAGCTTCATTATTAGTCCAAGACAACGAACGTCATGGCTGCACCGAACAAGTTGCTCTTCCTGATCATCATCCTAGCTACGGCCTCTTCCATCGACAGCGCGACCGAAAGATTCAACGGGAGCTGCGTCCCGGCCGAGAGGGCCGCGCTGCTCTCCTTCAAGGCAGGCATCACAGGCGATCCGGACGATCGCCTCGTCTCATGGCAGCGAGGTGCGCACGACTGCTGCAGGTGGAGCGGCGTCATCTGCAGCCGCCGGACAGGCCACGTCGTCAAGCTCGACCTCCACTATGATTTTTCATTTGAGGATTTTCTATCATCCAGTGATGACCCTGAAGACCACTCGCTGCGCGGACAGGTATCCTCTTCGCTGCTTGCTCTCTCGCATCTCAGGCATCTAGACCTGAGCGGGAATATTGTCCTCGGAGCTGGAATGGCTATGCCGGGATTTCTGGGCTCTCTTCCAAGTTTGACTTATCTCAACCTCTCCGAAATGGGATTTCATGGTAGAGTGCCTCCTCAGCTCGGCAACCTCTCCAAACTGGTACAACTTGACATTAGAAATTATTACAATTATCATATTTTATACTCAGACGACATATCTTGGTTAGCGCGTCTCCAGTCGCTAGATCATCTTAACATGGGCTACATCAACCTGAGCAGAGTCGTTGACTGGGTCTATGTGGTCAATGCACTTCCCAATTTGGTTGCACTGATTCTCCATTTTTGTTGGCTTAATGAGAGTAATGTTCCATCATCATTTATACAACACAACCTTACAGTTCTTGAGGAGGTTGACCTCTCTTTTAACAATTTCTATAGTCCGGCTGTACCTAACTGGTTGTGGGATGTAAATGGCCTCAAGAGCCTTAACCTAGAGGCTAATGAACTATCATGCCCGTTTCCTAACAAGCTGGGAAACTTGACCTTGTTAGAGACACTTAACATTGCAGGAAACAACGTCCAAGGGATAATACCTGGAACAATGCAAAATATGTGTAATCTAAGGTCTCTAGATCTCAGTGCCAACAACATCGACATGGACATAACAGAGGTAATAGACAGAATACCCAACTGTTCTTGGAAGCATTTGCAAGAGCTGAATCTGAGATATGCCAACATCACTGGCACGACATTACAGTTTGTGTCAAATCTAACTAGCTTAACCATGTTTGATGTCAGCGAAAACCAATTGAGTGGTCCGGTGCCTGTGGAGATTGGCACGCTTACAAATTTGACTCACTTATACCTTGGAAGCAACAACTTGATTGGTGTGCTGTCAGAAGATCATTTTGCTGGTTTGATGAATTTAAAGTACATTGACTTATCTCACAATAATTTGGAACTTGTTATTGATTTGCATTGGGTGCCTCCGTTCAGCTTGGATGTGGCATCATTTCCATCTTGTCATTTGGGTCCCCAATTTCCTGAATGGCTTCAATGGCAGAAGAGCATCCGTTATCTTGATATTTCAAACAATGGTCTAGTTGGTCGGATCCCAGATTGGTTTTGGACTAGCTTTTCTGAAGCTCGGCATTTAGACATCTCCATGAACCAACTTAGTGGTGACTTACCACTCAATCTGGAGTTCATGTCAATGATTACACTTTCAATGCGGTCAAATCTACTAACTGGCTTGATACCCAAGTTACCAACAACAGTTGTGGTACTGGACATATCCATGAACTCTCTAAATGGGTTTGTGTCGGATTTCCGAGCTCCACAACTTCAGGTTGCTGTTCTGTTTTCCAATTCAATATCCGGGGCTATTCCGACGTCAATTTGTGAAATGCAACAATTGCGGATCTTAGATCTTTCGAACAATCTGCTTTCAAAGGAACTTCCTGATTGTGGCCGGAATGAGCCGAAGCAACGTAACCCATCTAGCAGCAACTTTTCGAGAGTCAAGACAATGAGTTCTTTCAGTTTGAGAATCACTACTCTTCTCCTTAGCAACAATAGTTTTTCAAGCAGATTTCCTTTGTTCCTACGACAATGTCCAAGTCTTATTTGTCTCGATCTAACTCAAAACCGATTCACTGGAGAGTTACCTGGATGGATTGGTGAAGTCATGCATGGTTTGGTTATTCTACGGTTAAGATCAAACAACTTTTCTGGTCACATTCCGGTTGAAATAATGGAACTCCATGATGTTCGTATTCTGGATCTATCCAATAATAACTTTTCTGGGGCCATACCACAATATGTGAAAAACATGAAAGCTTTGACTGGCACTGCTACTGCTAATGATTCAATAGCTTATGACATTTTATTTGAAGGGTACCGTGACAAGTATTTGGCAAGTGGTATGGGACTGTCTAATGATAGCTTCTTGGTGGTGATAAAAGGGCAAGTGCTTGAGTACAGGAAGAATATCTTATATTTGATGAGCATTGATTTGTCTTGCAATAGTTTGACCGGAGAAATCCCAGATGAACTAAGCTCCCTTGGTGGTCTCATAAGTTTGAATCTATCATCAAACTTGTTGAGTGGAAATATCCCATATAAGATTGGCAACCTTCGATCGCTGGAATCTCTTGACCTGTCAAAGAACAAACTTGGTGGTGAAATTCCTCAGGGCTTATCAGATTTGACATACCTGAGCTATTTAAACTTGTCATACAATAATCTGTCTGGAAGAATACCCACGGGGCATCAACTGGACATCCTCAAGACAGATGATCCGGTTTCTATGTACATTAGTAATCCTGGTCTTTGTGGACATCCAGTTCCAAGGGAATGTTCCAATCCTCCTAGAGATCTGCCCACCAATGGAGCTTCAACGGGATGTCTTGAAAATGGTTTCTCTCAGATGGATCTTTTTCTAGGATTAATTATTGGTTTTGTGGTGGGCACTTGGATGGTGTTTTTTGGACTTCTGTTCATAAAGAGATGGAGTTATGCTTATTTTGGGCTACTCGACAAGCTATATGACAGGTTGTATGTCATTTTTGTTGTTACTTCGCAAAAATGGTTCGGACCACAGATGTGAATTAATAAAAGAACTACCAAAGATGCCGCTACAAGATTAAGGGCCTGAAGAACTAATTTCCATATTGTATTGTCAAACACTTTACCACTCAGAAATTATTGATGTATTGTATTGTATCTTGGTACCGCTGGTGGTAGTTGTGCATGCCACAAGGTTTCATCTCATAAAATATATGTACCCTGCTATGGCATACCCATTAATTGTGTAATATTATTCAGAACTACATGGATTTCTTATGCAACGTAATGTGCTAGGTCACCTTGCATGCTTAGATGGTTGTTTTGGATAATAAGATGTATGGACTGATTTTGCTGAAGTACATTTTTATTACCTTTCAGCGACATGTATTTCCATGTATGATCAACTTCTTGTTAGATACTCCCTCCGTCCCAACATGTAATACCATTTTTGACAATCATAGTATAAAAAATGATCTTACATTTTGGTACGAAGAGAGTAGAATTTAGTGAAAACTAAACTTTGTATGTATGTTTTCTAAATGTCACTTTGTATTGCTGTTCATCAATGTTGTCACCTATTGATGAGATGCAAAAAAGTTATCAACTACGTATTTCTGTGGCAAGGAAGTAATGAAGAGAACACTTTATTCAATACAATCTCTGCTCCCAGCATATTGAACGTGTCAATTTGAAAGCACGCAATTTTGTGTATTTGGTTTTTTGGCTGACCAATACACATTACAATCAACAAGGGGGCAAAGATGTCATCTACTTGTCAAACAAATTCATGCCAGTGAACACCATAATTGTTTATATTACCCAGCTTATTCACCTTGATTTTGTTATTATAGATTCTGGTTACTAAAAATTACAATAATGTACCCAGTAATACAACACTGCACAAAAAGTAAACAATTGTAACAGCGTAGCAAAACAAGAAAAAAGAAGTCCCACGTTCTGCCAGGATACGTTCCAGGTTCTCCGAAAATCTACATTATTGATCGGCGCAGATCATCTACTACAGCCGCAACACACCCACCGTCGCAGCGCCGCCATCCACACCGCACTGCACCGCAACCACAACCACCACCAAAATGCACCACAGCGCCGCCCTCAGGAGCACACCGCCCTCCGCTACGATTATCCAATTCCAATATATGATTATCTATCTTACCCTGAAGACTACTCGATTCGAGGACAGGTATCTTCTGCGCTGCTTGCTCTCCGACGTCTTAAGCATCTAGATCTGAGCGGGAATATTGTCCTAGGAGATGCAAAACCTATGCCAGCATTCCTGCGCTCTCTTCAGGGTTTGACGTATCTCAACCTCTCAAACATGGGTTTTCATGGTAGAGTGCCGCCTCAGCTTGGCAACCTCTCCAAACTGGTACAACTTGATATACATGGCTACATCAACACTGGTCGTCTCTACTCAGATGATATATCTTGGTTAGCGCGTCTCCAATCGCTACAACATCTTGACATGGGCTCCATCGACCTCACTCGAGTCCTTGACTGGGTTCATGCGGTCAGCGCACTTCTCAATTTGGTTGCACTCATTCTCGATGCCTGTTGGCTTGAGGACAATAATGCTCCATCGTCACTTGTAGGCCACAATTTTACGCTTCTTGAGGAGCTCGACCTCTCTTATAACCATTTCAAAGGTTCGGCGGCATCCTATTGGTTCTGGGATGTAACCAGCCTCAAGAGCCTTAACCTAGAGCATGGTGAATTATCAGGCCCGCTTCCTAACGAGTTGGGTAACTTGACCTTGTTAGAGACATTTAACATAGGAAATAACAACATCCGAGGGATGATACCAGCAACAACGCAAGCTATGTGTAATCTGAGGTCTCTAAATCTCAACTTCAACATCATCAGTGCGGACATAACAAAGGTGATAGATAGGATACCCAACTGTTCTTGGAATAAACTGCAAGAGCTGAGTTTGGACTATGCCGACATCACTGGCGCGACATTACAATTTGTGTCAAACCTACCTAGCTTAACCATGCTTGACATTAGTGACAACCAATTGAGCGGTCCAGTGCCCGTGGAGATTGGCGTGCTTACAAATTTGACTGACTTATACCTTGGATCATGGAACAACTTGAGTGGTGTGATATCAGAAGATCATTTTGTTGGTTTGATGAATTTAAAGTCCCTTGACTTATCTGATAATAATTTGGAACTCAATATTGACTCGCATTGGGTGCCTCCATTCAACTTGCATCGGGCATCATTTTCATCTTGTCAACTGGGACCCCAATTTCCAAAATGGCTTCAACTACAAGGGAGCATCAACGACCTTGATATTTCAAACACAAGTCTAGTTGGTAGGATCCCAGATTGGTTTTGGACTACCTTTTCTGAAACTAGATATTTGGACATCTCCTTGAACCAGCTTAGCGGTGAGTTACCACTCAATCTGGAGTTCATGTCAGTGATCCCTCTATCAATGCAATAAAATCTACTCACTGGTTTGATACCCAAGTTACCAAAAACAACTGAGGTATTGGACATATCCCATAACTTTTTAAATGGGTTTGTGCCAAATTTCCAAGCTCCGCAATTGGAGGTTGCAATTCTGTTCTCCAATTCTATAACCGGGACTATTCCAACCTCAATTTGTCGACTGCGACAATTGCGGGTCTTAGATCTTTCGAACAATCTGTTTTCAGTGGAACTTCCTAATTGTGGCCGAAAGGAACTGAAACAACAGAACCCATCTAGCAGTAATTTTTCAAGAGACGATTCAGTGAGTTCTTTCAGTTTGAAAATCACTACTCTTCTTCTAAGCAACAATAGCTTTTCCAGTGGATTTCCTTTGTTCCTACGACAATGTCCAAGTCTTCTTTACCTCGATCTTGCTCAAAACAGATTCACTGGAGAGTTACCTGGATGGATTAGTAAAGCCATGTCTGGTTTGGTTATGTTACGGTTAAGATCGAACAATTTGTATGGTCACATTCCAATGGAAATGATGGAACTCCACGCTATTCGAATTCTGGATCTATCCAATAATAACTTCTCTGGGACCATATTGCAGTATCTAAAAAAATTGAAAGCTTTCACTAGCACTGTAATTGCTAGTAATAAAGTATTTGATGATCCTTTCAAAGAAGTATACGAAGACAAATACTCATTCGTGGATATGGAACTGCATTATAATGATAGCATCTCAATGGTGATGAAAGGGCAAGTGCTTGAGTATGGGGAGAATATTGTATATTTGATGAGCATTGATTTATCTTGCAACAGTTTGACTGGAGAAATCCCAGAGGAACTAAGCTCCCTTGCTGCTCTCATAAGTTTGAATTTATCATCGAACTTGTTGAGTGGAAATATTCCATATAAGATTGGCAACCTTCAATCGCTGGAGTCTCTTGACCTGTCAAAGAACAAACTTGGTGGTGAAATTCCTCGGGGCTTATCAGATTTGACATACCTGAGCTATTTAAACTTGTCATACAATAATCTGTCTGGAAGGATACCCTCAGGGCATCAACTAGACACCCTCTAACAGATGACCTAGCTTCTATGTACATTGGTAATCCTGCTCTTTGTGGACATCCACTTCCAATGCAATGTCCTGGTCCGCCAACCAACGGAGATCCAACAAGGTTGCCTGAAGATGGCTTGTCTCAAATGGATTTTCTTCTTGGATCAATTATTGGTTTTGTGGCGGTCTCTTGGATGGTGTTTTGTGGACTTCTCTTCATGAAGAGATGGAGGTATGCTTATTTCGGGCTACTCGACAAGCTATATGACAGGTTGTATGCCATCTCTGTTGTTACTTGGCAAAAATGGTTCGGACCACGGGTGTGAATTAAGCAAGAACTACCAAAGATACCGCTACAAGATTAAGGGGCCTGGAAAACTTATTGCTATATTGTATTGTCAAACACGTCGCCATTTAGAACTTACTGATGTATTGTATTGTATCTTTGCACCGTCGGTGGTGTTGTGAGTGCCACACGGTTTTGTCTCATAAAATAGATGTATTATGCTATTTCATACCCATTAATGGTGTAATATTATTCAGAACTACTTGGATTTCTTATGCCACGTATTGTGCAAGGTCCCATTGCTTGCTTAGATAGTTATTTTGGATCATAAGTTGTATGGACTGATTTTGCTGAAGTACGTTTTTATTACCTTTCGGCAAAATGTATTTCCATGCATGAGCAACTTCTTGTTAGATACTCCCTTTGTTAAGAAATATAAAAGGGTTTAGATCATTGAAATATAACGCTCCAATATTTCTTTACGGAGGGAGTAAAATTTAGTGAAAACAAAACTTGTATGAATGTTTTCTAAATGTCACTCTGTATTGGTGATCATCAATGATAAGAGGCAAAACAGTTATCAACTATTTCAGAGGCAACAGGCAAGTAATGAAGAGAACACTTCTTCAATACAATCTCCTATTGAACGTTTCAATTTGGAAGTATGCAAATTTGTGTATTTGATTTTTTGGCTGACCAATACACATAACAGCCAACAAGGGGGCAAAGAGGTCATCTACTTGTCAAACGAATTCACACCAGGGAACAACATAACTGTTTATATTACCCAGCTTATTCACCTTGATTTTATTATTATAGATTCTGGTTACTCAAAATTACAATAATGTACCCATTAATACAACACTGCACAAAAAGTAAACAGTTGTAACAGCGTAGCTGAACAAAAAAAAGAGAAGTCCCACTTTGTGCCAGGATACGTTCGAGGTTCTCCGAAACACTACATTATTGATCGGCGCGGATCATCTGCTACAGAAGTATAAACCGAAACCGACATTACCATGAAAGAATTGGTGTCACAAAATAATATACATCGAACACCCTCAGACAAAGTTTATGGTGAAGGAGACGTAAGGGTGGGACTCTGCCTCGCCTCCCAGGCCAGCAGCCATGCCCACGTCGTCTTCGGATCTCCAGTAGCTGCTGCAATTCGAAGGTTCGGTAAGCGAAATTCATGAGCAGGCTGCGAGTAACAATGACAATGGGCTGCAGCCTAGGCACGGCATTTACCTGTTGGCGTTGCCGCATAGCCCTTCCAAGATGTTCCTTACTTTCTTCTCGCTCTTTGTAGATGGTGCTAGGACAACAGACTGATGCAAACACAACAGGGATCAGACATGACAATGTTAACCGTACAACAAGAAGCTAAATTACCATGAACATCGCAGTTGTCTGTTGTAAAAACTAGTTACAGATCAGATGTGAAAGTATAAAGCTGGGTGTCAAATAACAGCCAGGGAAATTTACCAGGAACCGTGCAGGCAGACCATATCTCAGAATACTCTCTACGAAGACGCGAACAGCAGAGAAATGCATCCAGGAGCTAAATACCTAGAAATATAGTACAGGAACCGTGAGAACAGATATTTGTTGATAAAGAAGAAAATAAACCTAGCAAACCATGATTGCACATCAAGCAAGCAACTAAAGCCCAATATTCTAGGCATTTTTCTGAAATACTCACTCTGTTCCTAAATATAAGTCTTTTTAGAGATTTCACTAAAAACTACATACGGATGTATATAGACATATTTTAGAGTGTAGATTCACTCATTTTGCTCCATATGTAGTTCATAGTGAAATCTCTAAAAAAGACTTATATTTAGGAACAGAGGTCGTAACTATCAACAATCATGTGATACACAGCATTATATATACTATAGCTATAGACTCTCATCAGTTAACTTCTGCCATGATGACCACTGGGAGTAGCACTGCCATACACAGACAAATAACAGCACAGTAGTTTTCCATCAATAGAGAAGCGCATCAGTTTTAGCTATTATTACGATTTTATGAAAATGGGCAGATATTGAAGTTCTGCAGAGCTTAATCGATTGAATAGCAGACATTTGTAGCTTGATACTAAGTAACAATCATGGATCAGAAAACAAAGGGGATGCATCCTGATCTGCTTAATGAGTTGACCACCATATGAGTTCGCCCTAAACAAGGATGCACTGGTGATAGAATGACAGCATTAACAAAAATAAGGCCCGGATTCCATTATGCCATGAAGTCACAACTCCATTATTGTCCTTGCATTTTTAACAACAACAACAACAACAAAGCCTTTAGTCCCAAGCAAGTTGGGGTAGGCTAGAGGTGAAACCCATAAGATCTCGCAACCAGCTCATGGCTCTGGCACATGGATAGCAAGCTTCCATGCACCCCTGTCCATAGCTAGCTCTTCGGATTCAGATTCAGCATGATTTGGTAACACCATGATCTGATCTTCAGACTACCACTGAAGAAGATCAATTAACCAATTATTAACCAGTGAACAAATTCAAAACCTTTCTGTTCAGGCTTGTGGTTTAACTAGAAAAGATTCAAAGGGTTGTGGAGGATAACAGAGTAAATAGATGAGAAAACTACAATAGCATCCAACCGAGACCTGGAGAGTAGTTCATAATGAATGAGTTTTGATGAAGAACATCTGTGCAATCAAATGAAATGTTTGAACAACTTATTTCTAAAGTATCTTTTGCAAATGTAGATGAACTAAGGGCATGTGGTTTGTTCACCTTACAGTTCATATACAAGATTAGAACATAATACACTGCAAAAGACATGTACCTCACTGTAGCTTGCATAGCACCATTGCAATAGAGAGGTCCTCATAACTTCCTGGTCTTGCAGCAGCTTTTCTAGCTCTTGCTTCCGACTCTCCTGTGCTTCAGGACTATACTCAAAGTCACGGATCTGAAATCAAGTGTGAAACAGAAGTTAGTGGATGACAAAATAGTTACGAGAATGGCAGGTACGAACTGACAAGATTAATTTTCGCCTAGCTATTAGGAGGTATACCAAAGGCTACATGGAGTACTGCCACAGTGCCAAATTAAGGTTAAATGCAAGCAATGGTTTAAAAGAAAGGATCAGGGCAACAAAGTTACCTGGAAACCTTTCTCACGAGCATGGACCTTAAAGTTGTCAACAACCTTGGCAAATAATGTTACAGTGTAGAGAGCATACTCATTGTCCTCGTAAAGCTTTTTTGACGATCTCGGAACCTATATAAACAATAATTAGCTCAATTGAAAGAATCAACTGAATACAATCACAAATTAGGACAACTTGAATGCTCCTCATAAGGGCAAAGTAAATAGCATCCAGGTAAACGAACTGCAAGTCAAATGTATCTAGAATTTGGAAGATTTCTGTGATGGCGAGTTCTCATGATACCATTAACACCAGAAATGATGAACCAAATAAACACTCTTGGTTTTAATTGAATAGCCACAAATAAAATAGACATTTGCTGAAATGAAGCATGGCATGAAAATAGTTCAAACGATGGTTTATCACAGACATTATCACTATTCAAAGGATCCTGAACTTACCACAAACGTATCAAGTGACTCGTAGCTTGATAACCAGTCTTTTTGGGAATACTTTGGCACAATAGAAAGCAGTGTCACTAGATGTTCCGAGGTGACCATATCCTCTGGTTTTATGAGGTTGGAAAGGTCACGAACTGCTAAACTGCCATACAAGAAGAACAAATCAATTAGAGTAGGACTCGAGGCAAGCAACAACGTAGCATAATACGAGTACCAAGCATGTCCCTCCCTATAGAGCTAGTCAGGAAGTATGGTGAGACGATTTACCTTCCAGTTTGCTTCCTGTTGATTGCGCCAAGCTGGCTCTTAACATTACCGTATTCAGCAACTCTAACCTGGAAAAGGGCATATTCAGTCCTTCTGTAAATGTAACACCCAACCAAAACACTTATTTGCATCTATGAGTACAAAATAGAATGAAGGTCTATATAAACCAAGATTGCACTAGTGATGAGGGGTGGAGACAAATGGCAGGTGAGATCAACACGGTATTTCAGTTATAATTACTACAATTTATTCCTTTTCCTGACAAAATGTGGTACCAATTCCCTAGTTGTTTGCATCATGAATGAACATTATGTGGTAATTCAGTGCCAGAAAAGGGGACAGAAGACAAAATAAATACTCATGAAACTAGCTGCACAAATAGGTAGCTAGCCGGAACCGAACAGACCAAGACAAACAGGAGGTGAGCTACATCCAAAATGTACCAATTGAGCGCTGAGGAGCAAATTTAAATGTTATAAGAAACACTGTCCAAAATACAGTAGCAAGCTAGCCTAGCTAATGCAGTGTTAAGTTGCTGCAAATGTTCCCAAATATTACTGCCATCCATGCGTGATTTGTTGGTCAGTATGAAGAAGAACTGGACCAATGAAGAGAGAGAGAAGCAGAGTTAATCGTCACCTTCATGTCGTCCTCGATCTTGGCGACCTGGGACTGGATGCTGGCGACGGTCTCCTTGAGCGGGGCGTTGACGGGGTACTTGCCCTCGTCCCACACGAACCTGCAGAAATTAAGGAATGTGTAAGCAGTGGGCAGATGAGGAATGTAAGCAGCGGCACAGGGCACGGGCAGAAGGAGGGACCTGGTGAGGTAGCTGTCGACGGGGACGCCGTCGACGGTGAGGGTGCCGGGCTCGACCCCTCCGGCGCGCTCCAGGTCCTCGATCTGCCGGCGGATCTTGTGGGAGACGCCCTCGATGAAGATGTTGGACTGCAGCCAGAGGCCAGATCAGGCTGGGGGTAAGAGAAGAGGGGTCGGGGGCAAGAAGATCGGGATGGGGGGAAAGCAGGTACCTTGACGAGGTCGTCGCTGAGGGCGAGCAGGGAGTCGAGCGTGCCGGGGCGGAGATCCGGGACGGTGAACTGCGCGGGGAGGCCGGGCGAGTCGAGTCAGTGAGGGGCAGGAGGCGGAAGGCGATTGAAGGGCGGAGGAGGAGGAGGAGGAGGGAGGGGGTGCTTACGCGGTAGAGCGGGGTGTCGAAGGAGTGGCGGGAGATGGCGTCCTGGAGGCGCGCCCAGAGGGCGGTCTTGCCGGCGGCGACGTTGTCGTCGGCGACGGGCAGGGCGGCGATCCAGTACCGCGTCGCCATGGTCGGTCGTCGCCGGCGAGGGGGAGCGGCGGGAGGGGGAAGGTCGGCTGGATTTCGATCTGCTCTTCTCTTGTGTGTGGTGGTGGATCGGGGACGGGGACGGGGACGGAAGAGGCAACGGCGACGTGGCCACGTGTGCCCGTCACCTCGACGTGGACGGGGCCCACCTGTCTGTCACCACCAGCTCCCCTCTCCTGACTCTCTGTCCAGCCAGATCAACAACCTCTTGTTCAAAATTCACAAATTCATCCACAAAAAATGGTGAAGGGTGTTTGAATGTGAATAAACAAAAGCGAAACAAGGTAATAATCTGCTTACAAGTTTGAATTCTTACAGGACATAATTTTTTTTCCCGTGGACACTTACAAAAGGACGGGTTCGTAGTTAAGAATCCGCATGTGTGTTTTTTTTTCCAACAAGTGCACACCCACTCCACAGTGTGATGCGGCGCTTCCTTTCTCAAGTAGATCCCTCTCGAGTGGGCGTTCGGATCGTAGTACGTCTTCACCACTTGAGTGTTCAGGTCTTCGGGAGTAGATCAGAAAAGGTCTTAACGATGGGCTCTTCTAGTAAGTTATACTTCGTCTTTTTATTTAGTTTTCTCTACTTGAGTGTCTTCACTAGTGTTTACTCGACCCGATCTTTGGGAGGAAGGTATAACATGACTTGAACGATCTGTTACTTGGCACAAATGTGTGCTTCATCTTCGTAGTTTGCTTTCTCTGCGGCAATTCACATTGACATGATATTTATGCCACGGATTTGGATTTGTTATGTTTTCGCAAAGAAAAAGTTTTGGATTTTTATCTAGTACCTAATTTTTTTAATATCTTTTACTGTTGCGGTTTCACACTAAGTGTGCCTTGCGTTCTCTCTTAGTTGTGTAGTGTGTGGATGTGTACACCAATGGGACCCAGGAGTAGTCATGACTTGTGTATGCCAACCAACAAAATCCGTGACAACTTAAGCTAAAAAAACATCTGTGACAACTTCATAGTTTTTTCGAAAAAAACATCCCCCATATGTTAATCAACTAAAAAAGTGCTTACAATTGTTCATTACATCATGTGCCACATAGGGCAGAAAACTAAACTAAAGAATACCCTCCGACCTATTGTTAAAACTAAACTTAGCAATCTCATGAGCCACCGTGTTTGCCTGACGAATGATCTTGAAGATCTTGAAATTATTTGTAAGTTTCATAATGCTCATCGGTTCCTTCTTAAGATAAACAAAAGGAGGCATGTTAAGAATATCATTTGCATGCACTAGTATATGCTTGCTTATCAGAATTATGGGTGCACATATATAGACCCATGTCCTCTTGTAGCTCCACCCATGACTGCAGGCATGCCGGAGCTAGTAGTTAGCAAAATTTCAATTCAATGTCCGAGCTCATCTGCACCCTATAAACAGTAAATTCAAAAAATAGCAAAACAAATGAAATTTTAGAGAATCTTCTAGGTGCGTGCCAAAATTTCAAAGGTGTTTGGACATTTTAGGAGCTCGTGACAAAAAATCTGGTTTATAGCGCACTTTTTGGAAGTTTGTTTGACAAGCCAAAATTTTATTTTTACCACGAGCTACTCAAATGTTCAAACACCTTGAAATTAGCGCGCGCGCGCACACACACACACACACCTAGATTATTCTCTCAGCTTTCATGTGTAAAAAATCGGATTTCTTTGAATTGCTTTTCTATTTTTTTTACTGTTTATCGATGGGTGCAGCTGAGCCTGGGTGCAGAAACTTCGCGTCCGCATTTTAGTTCATACGATGCCTTATGAAAAACAGGCTTTTAATTTAGTAGAGACAGGGCTCATTTCTCTATTAGTTGATGTGTGCGTGTAAGAACACCGGTTACATGATTGGGCCGTAATTCAGCAGCTCAACTCAAGGGTGGAGGAACGAATGGGAGTGGAAAGAAGAGGGAGGAATATCGTCAAAATCCAGGAGCTCCTATAGGCACTTCCTTAGCGGTTACGGGGAAAAGAATTCTATGAGACCAGGTCTCACGGGTTAGCAGATGAGACCCATCCTGATGGATGACACGTGGCATTCACAAATTACAAAGCATCTACCCCACCCCCACCTGAAATCAGGAAGGGAGAGATTAGATGCTTTGTGATTTGTGAATGCCACGTGTCATCCATCAGGGCGGGTCTCACCTGCTAACCGTGAGACCTGGTCTCATATAATTTTTTTCCCGGTTACGGGCGACGTATGAAGGAGAACAATAATGGGCATTAAGGCGTCCTGTAATTTTCACAACAATAATATCCATGTACCAAGCATGGAATCTTCGCATCATCGTTGTTAGAGGAGCACCGGGTTTGACGAGAGGCTTCCCGTGCCGGAATTTGAATGTGTCCACCTCCATTGTATCAAAAAGTGCATCGTCGGGCATGTAATCTCCAGGATTGGTACCGGGCAGCATCCCCGGAAGATTAGCAATGATATCGCTAGACACATTGAGCGGGGGGCACGATTGCTTCGCTTGTTCGCCGAGCTGAAGAATTTTTTCCCCACTTTTTTGTTCTGCTAACCTTTGATCAGTGCTCCCGACCGCTCTGCTTCCTTATATGTCCTTTCAATAACGCGGTCATAGTTGGATTGCGGCGGAGGCGGTGATGGTCGCTGCAGGGCATCCAAAGTGTGCTTGTCGTTCCTCTAGCTTTCGTACCCTTGCCAAAAGCTGCTATAGTTCACTCTGCTCCACTTTCCTCCTCCTCTCTTGGGTTTTGTAACCACCTGCGTCGGGAAACCCAACCTTCCATGCAACAGAGCCTGGCGTGCCTCGTGTTCGTCCAGGGTGCTCAGGATTCCCGAGGGCCTTTGTGAGCTTGTCATTCTCTCTGTCGGGAACGAACGTCCCTTCCTGTGCTTCCTTGATTGCTTTCTGAAGCTTCGTGATGGGTGTTGCAAGTTGCTCATCCGTCCAACAGCACTTTCCTGTTTCAGGGTCCAAAGTTCCCCCAACCACGAAGAACCAAGTCCTTGAACGGTCTGGACAGTGCAATGTCTCTGGTTCAACCACTTTAGCAATCAGGTCCTGCTCAACCTTGTCCCACAACGGCTGGGCTTTGAGGTAGCCACCTGACCCCGTGCGATGGTGATGATCCTTCTTTGCAGCATTTATCTTGTTAATCGCTGACATCTTCTTACTCTTCTCCGATGTCTTGTGGGCCACAAATGCGGGCGGTGATATCTTATCTTCTCAAATTGGCCGGTGAATTCCGGAGTCTTGTTTTTGTCGACATACATTGATTTCAACTCATTCTTCCACCTCCTGAATAGACCTGCCATCTTCTTGAGAGCATGAGCCTTGATCAATGGCTCTATAACTGGCTCCTCCGGATCCTCCTCTGCCAGTAGGGTGGAATTTACTTCAGCGCGGTCCAAAGATCATCTTTCTGTATATCTTCGACAAAAGAAACTTGAGGGTCTTCCTTCTTAGGCTTATACCATTTGTGGATGCTGATCGGGATTATGTCCCTAACAAGAACCCCCCATTGTGTAGAAAATGCTTCCTTGGTCCGAGGGGTTTAATCGGTTGGCCATCACGTGCGATTTGGGATCGTGAACCTTTCATCCGGGGGTAACTTTTTCTTCGGGCCTCGTCTCGTTACCGAAGTTTTGCTCGATCCGGAGGGCTATAAAATAAGAAAGAAGAGTTAATATATGTACATACCAAAAAAATTAATGCATCAATTAGCTAGTCAGCACAGGCTTTATATATATATATATATATATCTCGCCAGACTTTGCAATAGCTGATGAGGATATAGACCTAGGGTAGGGTCACAGGCTTGACCTAGGAGCCCCACCCAAGGTCACTACCCTAGAAGCAAAGAAGCTCAAGAGATAACAGGAAGTACCCAAGGAATACGTCGAGTGTTAGTCCACTCGACCAACCATATCAGTCGGGTACCCCAATTTTACGAAGATCACTCGACCTATGAAGACCAAGAGCCAGACAGAACTACAATGGTCGGACATTCACTTTGTGGTCTTTATAGGTATTAATGGTATTTAAAGCTGGTGTTATCAGTAACGCCCCTCCATTATGTACATTAAACCCTCTGTAACAGGGGATGGCTGGGGTCCTGGCGCACTCTATATAAGCCACCCCCTCCTCTGGCACAAGGGTTCGCATCCCCTGTAACACACACGCATATACTGAAATCCAGTCGACCGCCTCCGGGCACCGAGACGTAGGATTTTTACCTCCTCCGAGAGGGGCTTGAACTCGTAAACACTTGCGTACAACCTCACCATAGCTAGGACCTTACCTCCTCCTACGTAACCCCTATTCTTACTTTCAATCTTAGTACCACGACAGTTGGCGCCCACCGTGGGGCAAAGCGTCTTAGCGACTTCTGGCGAGGTTGTGTTTCCTTCAAACTTCATCAACATGGTTTCCGACGGCGGATTGATCTTGGGCCAGGAGCTCCGGCTCAGAGCACTCACGTTCGTCGCCGACGATTCGGCCTAGCTCTAGGAGGCCCCCCTTGACATCGATGCGCTGCCGATCCGAGGTTCGTCACACTTCCGCGCGAGTGCCCGAGGTGTTCTCCTCCGGTAGCCGTTGACTCCGTACCAGTCGGTGCCCGTGTCGACTTCTCGCTTCGATGGCCGCCGCCGCAAGCGCTCGGGCCGCTCGCGACTCCAACGGTGGGTGAAACATGCGCTGGCTCGGCAGGCGTTCACCCCCCAGGTCGCGGCGATCAAGCCCGACGTATATCCCTGTGGTCCGGTCGACTCGTCGACTGACTTCGCAGACACACTTTCCGAGAGCGGGAGTTGTGACCCCGTGACGGAGGTTCTCATGGTCGACTCCCATCGCACCCCGCCTGGTTTCCGCCGTGGCGGCGAGAACCGGGCTGACGGCGAGTCACTCGGCCACGAGGAGTACCAGCCTCAGCCTCTCAGTTCACAACAGAGGGAAGAGCTGCGCCGCACTAACGAGGAGGCTCTCCATACCCCCATCATTGGGGAAA